GGTTTCGGGCTAGACTTAATGACTTGCTTGGAACAAAAAGAATGTGGCAGAAATGACTTCTGAACAGGTCATAACAGATATACTGGTTTCTACCTATCTCTGAGATCACTTGCTCTAGGAACTACAGCTGCCACATTTTAAAGAAACTCAAGGAGGGGCGCCTGGCTGGCTCAGTGAATGCAACTCTTGATCTTGGGGTTCTGTGTTCAAGCCCCAAGCTGAGCGTACAGATTACTAAAACAAATTAAAAAAAAACCCCAAGGAGGTGAAAGGAGATCCACCATGTGGTAAGGAACTTTGTCCTCCAGACAGCCAGCATCAACTGCTTCCAGGCCAATGAGTAGTACACTATCTTGGAAAAAGATCCTCCAGCCCCACTCAAGCCTTCAAATATCAGTAGCTCTGATAACCATATCAGAGACTTTACGGAAGACCTAGAGGGAGCCAAAACCACTCCAGTAAACTGTTGCCAAACTTCTGACCCACAGATATCACGTGAGATAATAACTATTACTTTTTTTAAACTCACTCATTAAGAGAGTATTTATACTCATTGAAAAGCAAACTAATTTCTTTAACTAGTATGCATTTATAAAGACAATTTTTCAGTTTAAGAATTTTTTTTTTTTTTTAGTAGGCTCCATGTGGAGCCCAACACAGGGCCTTGAACTCAACACCCTGAGATCAAGACCTGAGCCGAGGAGTGCCTGAGTGGTTCATTCAGTTAAGCATCAGAGTCTTCATTTTGGCTCAGGTTATAATCTCAGGAGAGCCTGAGCTGGAACCCAGCAAGGAGCCTGCTTTAAAGTCTCTCTCGAGGAGTGCCTGGGTGGCTCAGTGGGTTAAAGCCTCTGCCTTCGGCTCAGGTCATGATCCCAGAGTCCTGGGATCGAGCCTGGCCTTGGACTCTCTGCTCAGCGGGGAGCCTGCTTTCCCCTCTCTCTCTGCTTGCCTCTCTGCCTACTTGTGATCTCTGTCAAATAAATTTCTAAAAATCTTTTAAAAAATATATAAATAAGGGGCGCCTGGGTGGCTCAGTGGGTTAAGGCCTCTGCCTTCAGCTCAGGTCATGATCCCAGAATCCTGGGATCAAGCCCCACATCGGGCTCTCTGCTCAGCGGGGAGCCTGTTTCCTCCTCTCTCTCTGCCTGCCTCTCTGCCTACTTGTGATCTTGTCTGTCAAATAAATAAATAAAATCTTAAAAAAAAAAAAAAAAAATATATATATATATATATATAAATAAATAAATAAAACAAAGTCTCTTTCTCTCTCTCCCTTGGGACACCTGAGTGGCTCAGTTGGTTAAACAATTGCCTTCGGCTCAGGTCAAGATCCTAGGGTCCTGGTATCTGGCACCACAGCTGGCCGTACTCAGCAGGGAGCCTGCTTCTCCCTCTCCCTCTGCCACTCCATGCTTGTGTGCTCTGGCTCTCACTCTCTGGTGTGCTCTCTGTCAAATAAATAAATAAAATCTTTAAAAAAAAAAAAATCTCTCTGCCCCCACCCTCACCTCTTCTCGCTGTCTCGCTCTCGCCTTTAAAAAAAAAAAAAAAAAAAAAAAAACCCTGAAGTGTGATCAAGAGTCGGACACTTATACAGACTGAGCCATCCAGGCATCCCTCAGTTTAAGAAATTCTTAAAGTCTATTTGCAAGTTCTGAGTTTCAAAGGAAACATGACATATTTAACAAACTGAAAACTTGTTCTTGCTAAAAATAAGTACGGAAAAAATCTTTTAAAAAGGTTTCAAAAAATAAATATGTAAACTGAAGTAAAGGGCAGAAAATTAAACACCAAAACAACGTACTCACCAAACTCTGAACAGAAAGATGACTCAAGAACAAGAAAATGAGTGGGATACCTTGTATAAAAAGATGCAAAAACTAGCAATTAGTTGAAAGGATATAGAACAAAAGCCTGTAACTATTCTTGTGGGTGTGGCAGCTAACAAAAAAGGGGAAAAGCAAGCAGGTAAAACTGAAAAATATCTAACCACAAAAGGTTTATCAGTAATTCTAGCATTTTGTTTCTCATGAGGCTCCTATGCCAAGTAATGGACCTGCTCCCCAGAAAAGTAAATAGGCACCCCCAAAATGATGGATTTTGGAGTTTTCAGACCAGTCTCCCACACCCACCTATACAGCCCAAGAAAACTGACGTCAGGAAACCATGACATATAAAACAGTTAAAAAGGGGGAGAAGGGGACAGGGAATACATCTCTTTCCAACCCTCTCTCCCTAAATATGCCAAATCCACCACCCTAAGTGCTGCTGAAGTATTGAAATCCAAGAGCTACACTTTAGATAAATTTCTCTGGCCACGTGAGAGACTACACACAAAAAAAAGAGAATGGCGCTAAAGGCAAAGAGATGAGTTAGTTCGGTACTTTCCTCATCTAGGACCAAGCTAGGATAATAAATGAAACTGGAAGTGGGGAAGGACAGGGCATGAATGGAAGAAACAACTTCAGACTATAACAAATACTGACCTGACATGTATATATCAGAATCTCAAAATACTGGAAATCAAAATAAAACATTACACCTATATTATACTTCACAATCAACCAAAAGCCTTCATATAAATTATTTCCCTCAGTTTTCTGGAAAACCCAAGACCAAAGAGATTAGGTAAATACACAAGGTTACATATGCCCCTTTATAGATCTTCCAAACACTAAACCAAAAGTCTCCCTTCGGACTCCCAGCCATTTCCCTTTTTCTACATTGCTACCCTTACCTGGATCTAAATTGTTAGCTAAAAATTTTTATCAAAAATTAAACAGACAAAAGGTGGTTATGTCAAAGACAATCTGGCCTGGGTTTCAGCTATATCCTCACTTGCTAACTTTACTCTCAGACTAAAAGTTCCCATACTTATTCCCTCTTAACTCTCCAAATTTCGTTTTTCTTTCTTCTTCTGCTCACGCCTGTTATTGCCTTACTATTCCTCCCTTCCTCGATTCTCAAATGTCAGGAACTTTAAGCACAAAAATCTATGGACTCATCTCAGAGAAAAAGTAAAAGCTAACAGGCATTCAGCTTCATACCTGTGCAAAAAGGATTTAGCTTAACTTCAAGTTCCACTTGTAATCAATATTAACCAAAAAGCAGCAGTATATAGAAGAAAAAACAAAAATATCAGAGATAACGCCCAAATAGGAGTTAACAAAGTACAATTCACAAGAAAGCAATATAGCACAGTGATTAAGAATATGGAGCCCTCCAGGCAGAGTTGGAGATTTGGTCAAGACTTCTACCTAACCTTGGTCCTAACCAAATTACTTTCTCCCAGACTCAATCTCCCAAAATCTTAATTCTCTCACCTGCAGAACCGGTGAGAGCACTTTCTTCACAGAATTATTCTAAGAGCTAAAGTATACTATGTAAAGTTCACAGTAAAATACATGACACAATCATCTATAAATGTTAATTACCATGATTATTATGTTTAAACCTACAGTCTAGGCACAGGAGAGTAAAAAAAAAAAAAAAAAAAGGAGTAGGGTAGATAGGAGGAAAAAAGGTGCAGGAGAGGTTGGGGAGAAGCAGCCTAGTAATTGTTCCAATTACTATTGCTATCTATTTTGATGCCAAGAATATAGTATTTATCAAAACATTCAAGTAAGTAAATCTGTCCATGAACAACTGCTGTAAGCAAAGTTCACTAATGTTAGACTATTCAAAGATTAACGTTAATTCTTAAAAACCCTGTCTCTGGAATTATCTTGATCCTGATATCACGGCTTTGGGTAACATCAGTAGGAATAATTTAAAGGAAAATAATCATAAATAATGTTCTTTTCTATGAAAAAAGACCACTTATTTCCACTTCAACTTTTTTATCACATTTAAGAGGCGTATTCCTAGACAAGTAACTTGAAGCCATTAAATTCAGAAATGCATATAATAGTCTCTGAAGCGAAAAGGTGGAGAACGGTCTCGCCATTTTTTTTTATATAAATCAAGGTGGACGCTCGATGAGAAGTACTACACACAGCTCTGACAGACAAAACACAAATAACCCAGTCTATTTTAACAGAGGGAATTACTTAATTCTAATTTCAATTTTAGATATAAAATAAACACAGAATACCTACAATCTTCTGCTCTAAGTCAGATAAAAGGATTCAGTAGCATAGAAAAAAAGTTCTGTTTTGGAATAAAGAGAGCAACTGACAAGTTATAAAGCCATCTTTGTAAGATGTTCAAAATTATAATTGTTTATCCAATAAAGATAATTAAATGAAATAAACTAATTTTAGCTACACTGATATATCACTAACAGCGTCTAAAAAATAAATTTTACTGGTTTTTTTAGTAACAAACATTCCTATGCCTAGGAATCACTGAAAAACTATATAATAACTAAGTGTAACAAAAACACTACTATTCAATACTGAAAATTTTAAGTAATATTAAAACATAATCCTTGTTTTTCAAAGGATCTACTACAGAAATACTTCCAACTTTTTAAAAAAGTTTTGTTTATAAACTTGATCAGCATAACCTTCCAAAAAGAAAATATATCAAGTTATTTAAAAGAATTATGAATTATTATGAAAATCAGGCTTAAAAACCAAGTCATACATTATAATTTACTCTAAACTACCAAACAGAAACTCTAAACTCACTTTTTAGAAAGCTGCCTCAACTCACATTTAGAAAGTAAACTAGCTAGCAAGACACATGAAATAATTTGTTTTTTCCTAACCTTTTTACCAATCTATGAATCCATAAAAATTAAGATGAATACTCACAAGGATTTTCACTCCATAAGCACAAAAACGTAAAAAAAAAGTACTGTGTGATCTGAAATATTCTTAAAATTTTAACTCTTTTTTGCATTTCAATTTACTTAATGGTAGTCTTCAGACTGTCCAGGAAATTGTAGCCAAACAGTATTGTTCCAAGAAACTGAAAGGCTTCCAAACAAAATAAACTTGACTCTCATTACAGTTACAAATGAGTGTATGATTTGCTCACCATATAATACTTACAAATTCCAACAGGACTGCACAGGAAGGTGTTGGGTTTTTCTCTGTAATCTTTATGTTTTCCAGTTTGTTTTTTTATTTTGTATCCTCTGAAATAATATCCAAGTTCTTTGAAGATACTTAACCTGTGACTATTTGACATAGAGTTACTTCAAGTCAGCTACCCATACTTCTGTTTTAAAGTTTTCATATGGCTATCTCCAGAATTAGCCAAGTTCCTTGGATTTAAGATTTTAAAGTCTTCTTTATTATTCCATGTACTTTTCACTGTTGTACTTATCCACTCCAGATGAAATATCCAATTTATGAGCAAAAAAGCAAAAACAAAAAGAAAATTTCACATCTGAAGAGCATTCCTAAACATCAGCATATAGAGAGACATAGCTATCTCAATACTACCATGCTGCTGGAAAACTGCAACATCTTAAATTTCCTTGTAAATAAAAGATAAAACGGAAAAAACTCTGTATTCTTTCAATGTCTTCATTTAGAAAAGCTGTCCCATTGTGACATGAAAAGGGCTGAGGTCAAAAATTCCTAAAATTTTTAATAAAGGTAAAAATAAACTGCCAAGAAACTTCAGCAATATTTAAACAGTAATTTGAAACTGCCGAAACTATTCAATACACAAATCAAACATATCTTACAGTTTTGGCTGAAAAACAACTAAAGGAGAGGGATGGGGGTAGGGGGAAGAGGCAAAAATACCACCAGCTGAAATAATTTAACCAGTTATATAATCCGTTTGAACCAAAATACTGAAGAAATGCCTGGGTCTCTTTAAGCAGCTTGTAGAATTGTTCAATTACTATAAATTCACTTCAGAGATGATTCTTGCCACTTTTAATAAACTTCTGGGGCAAAATAATCCAAAAACATTGTAATCCCAAAATGGCCACTTCAAATATCCGGGGCCTTTTACACAAAATCTAGAAGATGATCTTCATATATGAGTAATTCAATCACCTGTAAAAGTTATAAAAAAAAAAAAAAAAAAAAACACCTTAAATTACACACTGAATTTTAATTTTGAGCTAAAAATTAACCCCCATCTTGAAGAGTCAACTTCTGGAGAGAAACTCACTTCTACAAAATTCTACTGGGGTCTGAAAAAAGGCTCAGCCCAAGCAAGCGCCCCAAAACAGCCTACTGGATGAAAAAGACTTCAGAATAAAGAAAAGGTGGGAGATAATGTTACGGAGAACAAAAAGTGATTTCAATAGGGAAGAGGGTGCGCATATAATACAGGGGAATTACATAAACTTCCTACACTTTTCGCGTAAAAATTAAAAACTATGAAACTGCCCCACAACCTTAAAAAAGATTTTCTTTATTTTCAGTTCACTGGGCCCGAAGAAAAGAACAGGCCGGTTTGGTGCCATGGAGCATTAGTAAATACAACTTGGGGAAAAAAGGGGATATAAAGAGAAAGACGCTCTCTCCAAATCAGAAATGTCTAAATGAAAAGACATATTTTCCCCACGAAGTGTAGAAAGTAGGGAGGTGAGAAATGGGGCAAGAACATTCCTTAAACTTGCCTGAGGGTGAGACTTCCCGGCTTCTGTGGCATAAAGGTGTCGGTCCCCATTTCCTTGAATTAAAACAGGTTTCTCCCAACACTGAGGGGGTGGAAGATACCAAACCGTGCTCGTAAATCCCATTTAGAGTGGTTCTCTCCAAAACCAGAATAGGTCCCTTCAGGCCCCACAGGACTCCGGGATACATGGTAGCATTAGACTCAATACACAGCAAGGATCACGGACCCGGGAAGGGAAAGAGCGGGCGCGCTACTGAAGAAACAAGCGAAGGCCACAACTCGGCCTCGACTCCCTCGGCCCTCTGAGAGGAGCAGTAGTGCCAAAGGAGGCGGGCGTGTGCGAGAGGCCGGAGGAAGGAAGACCCAACACGGAAGGCGTCGGATCCGTTCTCAGCCTCCGCCAAACATCCCCCAGCCACCAAGCCTAAGCCATCCACCCCCTCCCCACAACCGCCACCCCCACTCCACCGCGGCCGAGTAAATATCTAAAGGGGCCTCTCTCAGCGCCGTCCTTCCGTCTCTCTCTCCTTGCTCTCCACCACCCCCCCACACACACACCGCGTCCGCGGGCAGCCTCACACCTCGCGCCGCCAACGCCGCTCCCGACCCCTCAAACCCCAACGCCGACAGGGGCACCCCCTTCTTCCCCCAGACTCCAGCGCGGAGCAGAAAGAACGGTGTTACCTTCTGCCACACCAGAGGTGCCCCTGGCCTGGGGGTGCCGCTGCGCTCGATCCCGGGAGGAGGTTTTCGGTACTTTGAATAATCCCCTTTTGCCGCTTTTCCCTCCCCCACAACCAGTCTCAGTCCCAAAATGGCGCCGACCCGATCCGCAATGTTCTGGGTCAAGTCTCGCGAGATCGTGGAAGGTGGCGAGGCGGGGAAGGAACTAGAGGGGGTGAGGAGAAGGGAGGGGAAAGGCGGGGCGAGGAGAAGGAGGAGGGAGAAAGGGTGTGGAAGAAGCGCTGCGAACGAACCTACTGGGCGGGGCAGCAGGAGGAGCGCCTCCACCAGAGAACCTTCTGGCCCAAGCAACCGCTCACGCTCCGGCCGAAAAAGCTCCGTCCTCTACGTCGGGCGGCTGGGGGGAGGGGAATAGGGCGTGGCTACGCCTAGGGGCGGAGCGTCGAGGAAGCCCCGGAGGTAGGGGCGCGTGGGGGGGCGGTGGCTCCGTGCAGTGACGTCAGGAGCAGCTGGAGTCGGGGATTACCCCCTGCTGCTGACGTGAGGACGGTGAACAATCGGGAACCTTCGGTGGAAGGGGGAATTCCCGGCCGCTCCCTGAGGAGCCCCTCCTCCTGCCCCTCCCCCGCTCGGGGCCGCCCAGGAGCCTGGGATGGTGGGGCCTCTGGGAAGGTGAGAGAGGAAGGGTGAGCTGGGAGGCAGCCGCGCGAGCAGGAGTAGCGCGCGCCGCGGCGTCTTCCCTGGCTGGACGCTCGGATTCGCCGCGGCGCGCTGTACTCGCTGGGTACCGCGCTCGGGGCCTGGGCGGAAGGGAGATCACATGCTCGCCAGTACACTTCCCTACACGGCGGGAGCGCTGGCGGTGCCCGCGCACGGCGAACTGGGCGCCAAGAAGCAGTGGATTCACATCGTACGCAAATACGAGCGTGTCGGAAGTAAATTCTACGCGAGGGGGGTAGCAAGGAGACTGAACTCGGTGGCAACTAAGCCCAGATTCTCAAAGGGTAAAAATGGCTACTAGATGTGATCGTGCCAATCGTTTTTCTCCCTGCTAAGTCTAAGCGTAAAGGAGGTGAGAATTATTTCAACAGTGTCTCTGGCCCACGCACTCCACACAGTTTTGGTGGGTTGTTTTGGTTTTTTTTTTTTTAATGAATTTCATGATATTCACAGTTCTCTAATTGCGATCGTTTTTCGCTTTGTAACTGAAGGCTCACTTTGAAACCTGTGAAGTTAGCTTTCTAAGAGGAAGAATAACCACATGTGCTTAGGGGAAAATGGAAGGAGGTATCTCAACGAGAGAAAATCCAGTAAATAATAAGTCCATGGCTCTCCGCACTTCCCCAAGCCACAAAGGCTTCATACACAGAAACTTTATGGCCCTTTTATATGCATTATGGGGTTTGTAGTTTAATGGACTGATTCTAAAAGCTCCCTGATAGAATGTTTGAATGTAAACTCAACAAAAATTATACCTCCCAACCTTTTTTAGTTTAGTCCGCATCAAAGAGATAGACACTTCTGGCAATTAATACCTCACCGAGAGCAAAGAAAAGAGCATTAACACAAGCTGGATGCCTTGTCTGTGCTAGACATTTTGTCTTTATACCAACCTAGGAAGTGGGTGTTATTTGTCGCATTTTGCAGACAAGGAAACTGGTTCAGGTTAAGTAATGTACGTAAGGTTGCGCAACATGGAAGCCTGACTGTCCATCTCAAATGTGCTGGGGTCTTAACATTTTTTTCCACCACACCACAGTGCTTCAGTATACATAACTTATGTGTTGGGACAGGACCTGCTTCTCCTCTATTTCTAAGCATGATGTGCATTCAAGAAACAAACAAAAAACTGGTAATATGCACACAAGTTGTGCCTTTCCAATTCCACCAGAAAAGTCAAAAAATAACAAAATGGAGAAACAATTGTAACATTTACGACAAACTGCTTAATATTTAATTATTTTTTTTAAAGATTTTATTTATTTATTTGACAGAGAGATCACAAGCAGGCAGAGAGACAGGCAGAGAGAGGAGGAAGCAGGCTCCCTGCTGAGCAGAGAGCCCGATGTGGGGCTGGATCCCAGGACTCTGAGATCATGACCTGAGCCGAAGGCAGCGGCTTAACCCACTGAGCCACCCAGGCGTCCCTGCTTAATATTTAATTATATGTACTCAGTTACTACTTTTAATATCTAATAATGTTCGATTTACATAATAAATATATCAAGATCTCTTACAAATCATGAAAGAAAGATAACCATACTATGTCTTAGAAAGTCAGAGGACAAAAAAAAAAAAAAAAAGAAGCTAGTCATGTGTATGTCAGAAATTATATGAAAAAATGTTATACCTCAATAGAAATTTTTTTTTAAAAAATGAAAAAAAACTAATGAGATACTACCTTTCTCCTATTAGACTGGCAAAGATTTTAAAAGAACCTAGATGAGGGTAGAAGGAATAAGTGTTTGCATAACCATATCAAGACTCAAAATCCATGCAGCGTTTCTGGAAGATAGTTTGGCTTTCATTCAAAAGAAAAGTTCTTTAAGATGCCCTTTGCCTGGGATGCCTGGGTGGCTCAGTCGGTTTGGCAGCTGCCTTTGGCTGGGGTCATGGTCCCAGCGTCCTGGAGTGGAGTCCAGCATCCGGCTCCTTACTCCACAGGGAGCCTGCCTCTCCCTCTGCCTCTGCCTGCCGCTCTGCCTACCGCTCTGCCTGCCTGTACTCTATCTCTCTGACAAATAAATAAAATATATTAAAAAAAAGAAGATACCCTTTGCCTATCTATTCTACATCTTAGAGTTAATTTTAATAAAATAGTGGAAAAGGTGTCCAACAATTTTAAAGACATTCATTGATATATTGCTTATAACTGCCAAAAAGAATTAACGACCTGAATTCATATAAATGAAGAGACTGAGTAAATAAATTATGGTATAGCACATCCATATGTAAATACAAAGCCATTAAAAATGATGATGTATGGGGTGCCCAGGTGGCTCAGTCATTAAGTGTCTGCCTTTGGCTCAGGGCATGATCCCAGGGTCTTGGGATCAAGCCCCACATGGGGCTCCCTACTCAGTGGAAAGCCTGCTTCTCCCTCTCCCACTCCTCCTGCTTGTGTTCCTTCTCTCACTATGTATCTCTCTGTTAAATAAAATCTTTTAAAAAAAAAATGATGATGTAGGGCTACCTGAACCACTCAGTTGGTAGAGCACGTAACTGGATGTCAGGGCCACTAGCTCAAGCCCCATGTTGAAAGTAGAGATTATGTATAAATTAATAAATATCATGATATACTTACTGTTAAAAGAAAATGGTTGGGAAGCCTGGGTGACTCGGTTGAGTGTTTGCCTTTAGCTCTGGTCGTGGTTTCAGGGTCCTGGAATGGAGTCCCTCATCAAGGTCCTTGCTCCTTGGGGAGCCTGCTTCTCCCTCTGCAGGTTGCTCCCCCTGCTTGTGCTCTCTGACAGATAAATAAGATCTTAAAAAAAAAAAATCATATGAAATAAGTTTCACAGCATACCAATAAAAAATAAAACGTTATAAAAATACCTAATGTTCTATTTTTGGTTAAATAAAGTATGAATCAAAGGACAAAGATCTAACTGAATAGTTAACAAAAATGTTAACCATGCTTATTTCTAGGTGGCAGGATAATAGAGGATCTTTATTTTATTCTTTATACTTCATAAGAGACTATGTTACTTTACATTTTCTTTAAAAATTTTATTTATTTGAGAGAGCATGAGTGGGGGAGAAGGAGCAGCAGACTCCCCACTGAGCAGGGAGCCCCAACATAGGGTTCAATCCCAGGACCCTAGGATCATGAGCTGAGCCAAAGGCAGGTGCTTAACCAACTGAGCCACTCAGACACCCAACTTTGTTACTTTACTATCATTTCTTAAAAAGGAAAACGGGGGCGTCTAGGTGGCTCAGTGGGTTAAGCCTCTGCCTTCGGCTTAGGTCATGATCAGTGTCCTGGGATCAAGCCACACATCAAGCCCTACAATGAGCCCCCATCAAGCTCTGCTCAGCAGGGAGCCTGTTCCCCCTCTCCCTCTGCCTGCCTCTCTGCCTACTTGTAATCTCTTTCTCCGTCAAATAAATAAATAAATAAATCTTTTTTTTTTTTTTAATGAAATAAAATAAAAAGCAAACTGAACAGGGGATGCCTGGGTGGCTCAGTTGTCTAGCATCTGCCTTCAGCTCAGGTCATGATCCCAGGGTTCTTGGATGGAGTCCCACATGGGGCTCCATTGCTCTCTCCAATGCTCAGCAGAGAGCCTGCTTCTCCCTCTGCCTGCCACTTCCCCTGCTTGTGCTGCTTTCTCTGCTTGTGATTGCTGGCTCTTTCTCTGACAAATAAATAAATAAAATATTTTTTTAAATAATAAAAACATAAAAAATAAAAAGCAAACTAAACAACTAAATATAAGAACCTATCTCCAACCAGCATGTTTTCTATAATTTTATTCATATGGTGAAAACTAACAAAAGGATTTAATCACATAATTATTTTAATTTATTAATGAACATAACATTATAGTAGTTTAAGAGAACATCTCTTTAGCCAAGCTCTATGCAAGAAATTTTTAATTAAATAAGTAAATTAGGGGCGCCTGGATGGCTCAGTCATTAAGCATCTGCCTTTGGCTCCTGTCATGATCCCAGAGTCCTGGGATCAAGCCCTGCATCAGGCTCCCTGCTCAGCCATCCTGCTTCTCCCTCTCTCCCTCCCCCTGCTTTTGTTCCCCCTCTCGCTGTGTCTCTCCCTGTCAAAAAAAAAAAAAAAATTAAAAAATTAAAAAGATAAAAAAGATAAGTAAATTAGTTTGATAATTCTCTCAATAATTTTGTAGATATCAACCAGAAAGAGATTAAGTAATTTGCTCCAAAGTAATGTAAGTCCAAGTATGCAGTAATGTATAAACAAAGGTATTCAGTTCCAAAGTAAGTGTAATAGAGAAAACTAGAAAACTTAAATTATCTATCAACGGAGTACTGGTTAAAAAACTAAGGTACATCCATACAATAGAATACCATACAACTCTTAAAAAAGAGTATGGTGGACTGGTATAAATTGATGTGGAAAAATGTTCAAAAATTTTTGTTAAGAGATAAAAGGGTAGTGGAGCGCCTGGGGGGCTCGGTTGCCTAAGCTTCCAACTCTTGATCTCAGCTCAGGTCTTGATCTCAGGGTCATGAGTTCAAGCTCCACATTGGGCTCCACACTGGGCATGGAGCCTACTTAAAAAAAAAAAATACTGAGAGAGAAAAGTGTAGCACAACTCTATGTATCTATATGTATGATGAATCC